CGTGGGAGCGAAAAGCCGGATCCTATGCGCGTTCGCTTCACCAGACCTGCTTCGCCGAGCTCGGTTACTAGCTCCTCTCCCGACCTGAAGGTGGAAACTCAGGGGAGAAAGGCAAGGACTTAACTAGTTAATCCGAGTCTAAATCTATATTCGCAATCGAGAGGTGACTCCCGGTTATATACACGACAGCTGCGACGTTGATTGAAGAATAAAGAGCCCAAAAAGGAACGTACAAAGATAATGTTGCGAAGCAGTTTGCATGTGTTTACAACAGACATTTTAAGCCTAAGCCTATGTGAAACTCTAAGCTTATGCCTAAGTCTAAGCCTCGACTTTAGATTTAGCCTAAGCCTTATTCGTCGCAAAAGGCTACATTACGTTTAAACTTAAACTTAGGCCTAGGCTTCATCTTGCTCTTAGGTCCAAGTCTAATTTTAAGCGTAAGACGAAACCTAAGCTTGAGCCAAAGCATAATGTTAAGGTTAAGATTAAGCTCAAGCTGAAACATAAACATAAGTTGAAGCATAAGCAAGAGCTCTTGTTTATGCTTCAGTATATGTCAAAGGACACCCCTAAGCGTCACTTTAAAGCTGAACCTAAACTTAAGAATGAGCCCACGCGCTAAGCTGGACTTAAACCTAGGCTTACAACTGCATAATATGCATGATCATAATGGGTGGAGGCTTCAGATTAATGTAATAGTGTAATAACTTCTGAAACGCAAAGGAACAGCGAATATAAAGATAATATATTTATCTTCTTCTGCTCAAATTCAAATATCAGCTTAGATGACGTATTCTCATATAGCTGACTTCAGGTATATGTGAATGCCTTCACATCTACCTAAAGCAATTAACATCTAATTTCGTTCTCAGTATTACTTGTGTGCGTTATTGCGTAATCCTTTGTGATACGTGAAGAGGACTGAAATTCCATAATCGAAATATTGCCTTCTATGACGTCCTTAGCGTCGAAGATTCTTGCTAGAAAAGGTCATAATAAAAATTAATATAATGAAACGTGAAATTATTTAAAATTTGATACTGGAAATTTCATAGTGGCTGTTCACTTTGATGGTGGTAATTTTTCGACCACCCGACTTCAGTAAATGAAACAGGATGTTTTAAAGATGTTACCAAGATAAGTGAAAACAGGACACACGAAAGTTCGAGAAGAAACAAAAAGTCTGAAGATAACATCGTGTTCTGCGTTCGGTCATATGACCCCATGGTGCAGATGACTTACTCCAGAAGTTGAAAATTATATGGCTTCTAACTCACCGAAGACCTGCTCACCATAGACTATGTTTCACCTCGCATTTGTTCCTAGTTGTAGGTGGAGGAGCCATTTGCGCAGAACGCAATTTCATGGCATCTGATCACCGGCAGTGCTAATTGCACTTCGCATCATTTTGTCCTCTGAGGTCAAACAGAGCTACCTCACACTATTTCAGGATCTGCTGTTCATTATGTCACAGCCTACGGATAAGTCACGCACCATTTAACATATTTCCCGTACAAATATATTTTGCATCGCTCGATGTTAATGCCGCAACGAACAAAACCTATCGCAAAGAAAACTGGCCGTAATAAACAGATTTGGCTGAAAGATATGAGCAGATAGGCACTTAAGGTTCATTTTAACGATGTACAACAGAATTAATTGAAATCACAGGCACGAATCATCGAAAACACGGACGAGATTGGTTAGATGTTCAGTCAGAGGACTCAAAACACACAGGACCGGAACAAAGTTTGGATACCAGTTCATTTTAAATTCAATGCCCGCCTGTTCTTAGGAGTCGCAGAGACAGAGGCCTCAGACAAAGCCTCAGCCGAGGATCACCAGACTCTGGAGAAGAGTCCTTTAACACATATACCCCGGATTAATCTTGGCCATCCCGGGCGTCTATCACAGATCGCTTGAGCAGACAGTAGCTCTTTCGCCTTCCTTTCTGGTGGCATTCGCAAGAAGTGCCCAAACCATTGGGGTTGTGACTTCTCACACAGAAGAAGCAGCGACGAACGCCAAGGGTTTTAACGAATACCGTACTCCGGATCCAGCTGAGAGGATTCCTGGTTCGACGCAGAAAAACTATTCCAGCTGCTTATTCATTGATCAAAGTTTCTTAGTCATGCTCCACGACTCATGATCGTAGGTAAATATGGGAATAACGATTGACTTTAATACTGAGAGCTAATCCTTCGGGACTGAGGTTGAGGCTAGCTCATCTAGAACGCCTATGGCTACTCCAATTCGCCGGTCGATCTCTTCCTCCAATTTCCCATCACTAGTAAATATAGTTCCGAGGTACTTGAATTTATCCACCTGCTCCACTGCCTCTCCGTTAATCTGAAGAGAGCAACGGGCAGGAGAACGAGAAA